TACACCCATGCACATTTTCCTCCTCACTTTCACTTTTTCACTTTCACTATCATCTATATTTCCAGTAAGGCCACGAGAGGGCATCCCTAAGTAAATTGTAAGTACAGCACGTCGTCTTATACCTGATCGGATGTTATACTGTCCATTTCTTTATGATTTATAAACGTTCTGTGCATCTACATAGCCTCATAACTTGTAATTTGAGCAATGTAAAGCAATATCACCGTAGAGCTAGTATTAGAAGTAGTATCTTTTCATTTCAACCCATCTGCTTGTCTCTAAGATTATAAATGTCTTTACTGTCAGTTTTGATCAGTTGAATGCATCCTTCCTGAATACAAGTGTTAAATAAGTCAATTCAGCATCAGAGTTTTGTTATTTTCACATAACTTGATGTACTAAAATAACTTTTAAAAAAAACAAAGGATTTACAGAGTGTTGCCAATATTCCTCATCCATCTCTCTGGTACTTGGGCCTATATAAAAATATAATAAAAGCTAAAATTAATTTTAAAAACTCATAAAACAAAATATGTTGTTTTTTAAAAGGGTTCACAATGTCCTGAAGGTGTTAGATAAGACAATTGGCCATGAAAGTGTCATTTTGTCTGTTCTGTGAAAGATAATGGTACTTATGGAGGTCATTCTCTTAGATTTTCACGGCTTTACCAAGTATCACCAATATTCCTCACCAATCTCAACTAGACCACGCCTGTTAGTTAAATGTTGACTAAATTCGCTAATACACCCATGCACATTTTCCTCCTCACTTTCACTTTTTCACTTTCACTATCATCTATATTTCCAGTAAGGCCACGAGAGGGCATCCCTAAGTAAATTGTAAGTACAGCACGTCGTCTTATACCTGATCGGATGTTATACTGTCCATTTCTTTATGATTTATAAACGTTCTGTGCATCTACATAGCCTCATAACTTGTAATTTGAGCAATGTAAAGCAATATCACCGTAGAGCTAGTATTAGAAGTAGTATCTTTTCATTTCAACCCATCTGCTTGTCTCTAAGATTATAAATGTCTTTACTGTCAGTTTTGATCAGTTGAATGCATCCTTCCTGAATACAAGTGTTAAATAAGTCAATTCAGCATCAGAGTTTTGTTATTTTCACATAACTTGATGTACTAAAATAACTTTTAAAAAAAACAAAGGATTTACAGAGTGTTGCCAATATTCCTCATCCATCTCTCTGGTACTTGGGCCTATATAAAAATATAATAAAAGCTAAAATTAATTTTAAAAACTCATAAAAATTACAAAAACTCACAACAAAATTACTGAAACTTTAACTGAAATAAATAAATAATAATAACGAATATTCAAAATATCAATAAAACCTATAATAGTTTCTGAAATAACACTGCTCACAAAACATCCCCAAGTCTGTAAGAGTCTTTCAGCTAATTCCTGAACTTTGAGTCTTAAACCAAGGAACATGACAAACAAACACAACCGTACCGTGACCAGAACTAAACATAGTCAAGATAACAATCTACTTTTCCAATGGCAAACACATGTGGTTTTCCTGATGCATGACATTTTGCCCCTACTTTTTGCCCTCTTATTTTGCAGTCCAGTCCAAAATAATGAATAACTCAAACAAAGAAACACCTCAACACCAGGTGGGTTTACAAGCATCTCAAACTAGACTTGGAAAATAATGCGCATATATATACTGTATATATATATATATATGTATATGGATTGCTTGAAATATATAGTCACTAAATGCTTTCAGTGTATGGAAAAGAGCAGTGTGAACATTTCTGAAAACCATCAGTGTTTCCCAGAAGGAAGGAAGTCATTCAGGTTTGGAGCGACATGAGGGTGAGTAAATGGTTACTTTGCTTATCACTTCTTTCCTCAAAATGTCTTGTAGTGAAAGTTAAATTATGGCAAATCTCTCTGCACTTTTTGAAAACCATTTGAAAGCTTCAGGCTGGGCCAGTGGACAGAGTAGAGATGCTTCTCAGTAATTATGCAAAGATTTTACAATTGAAGTGCATTGTCATTTTAATAACATGTGCATCTGGTTCTTTTGCTCTTCTGAGAGGAAAGGGCCTGGGCAACCACATGTGCTCAACATTACTGTCCTTTTCTCTTTCTAGCAAACTGACAAACGCACCGAGAAATACTCTAATTTCCTGATTGTTATTGTTCCTTGCATTCTTCTTAAGGTCATATTACAGGTCCCATGTGATTCATGTGAACTTTACAATCGATTTTGGTGACAATAACCAGCAAATTCCAAAGATTTAGGCCTTTGCAATACTCATTTAAAGGGGTGATAACACACACAGTTTCACCCAATCGCATGTTAATCTTGAGTACCTATAGAGTCGTACTGCATCCTTCATAGCTCCAAAAAGTCTTTAGTTTGATCATATTTATAAAAGAAAGCTACAGCTTTACGATTCTCTCCGGAAAAAGCCGAGCTCCTGGAGGCGCGCCGTGGGCGGAGCTAATGAGTGACGAGCACTTGGGCGCCGAATGCCAACAAAACAGACATTTGATGCCGTTTCACTTACCGTCTGCAGTTCTGAATCATGACCGGGATCTTTTATAGCTCGACCGCTCCATCTTTCAGTATCAAACATGTGCAAATCCAGCGTCGAACTGGGCCTTGGTTATAAAACGTTCGTCAACAAACACACTTGTGAAACTCCATTGCTGCTCCGGAAAAACAAACTGCATCCACTGTCTACATAACACTGGGTTCTTTAGGAAGCTGAACAAAGTTATCTTTCCCTTACAACCAAAGACACACTTCTTTGGAGACATTTTTCCCGAGCGAGTCCCGTGCAGCGCTGCCGCCGGTGTAGTGCCGAAATTATATAATATATAATCTGGCAGGGGTGCAGAATTTGGCACAACACCGGATGAAGCGCGTTGATGGGTGCGATCTCGCTCTTGCTCTGGTTGATGCGTACGCGGGCACACTCTTCCGGGAGAAATGCCCATATAAGGAGTTCCACCCTCGTCTACGTCATGAAGAGCCACGATCGATAAAAACTCTGAAACTCTTATGAACCCTGAAGTAAGATTTTTGGCACAGAAATACGCCGTCATACGTCCAAATTGTTTTTTGAAACTTTGTCCATGCTTAGCATGAGAATCCAACTCTTTAACAGTGTAAACAACTGTGAATGCATGAAACAGTATTGTACCCCCCCTTTAAACTAAAATATGAGATCATTTCCACCCTGAAGTGGGAGTTTGGGGTTATCGATTTGATAAACAATACAGTAAAAACAGTAATATTGTGAAATATTATTACAATTGAAAATAAACGTTTTCTGTTTGAATATATTTTCAAATGTAATTTATTCCTGTGATCAAAGCTGAATTTTCAGCATCATTACTCCAGTCTTCAGTGTCACATGATCTTCAGAAATCATTCTAATATGCTGATTTGCTGCTCAAGAAACATTCAATTTTTTTATTATTATTATCAATGTTGAAAACAGTTGTGCTGCTTCAATTTTTACATTTTTTTGTGGAAACTGTCATACATTTGTCTTAATGTTTATTTGATGAAAAGAAAGTTCAAAAGAACAGCATTTATTTGAAATAGAATTCTCTATTATATTATTATTATAAAGGTCTTTACTGTCACTTTTGATCACTTTAATGGCTGCATCCTTTTATTTCTTTATAAAAGTCTTACTGATCAGAAACGTTTGAACGGTATATGCTAATTAACTTAAAGGGACAGTTCACCCAAAACTGAAAATTGTATCAACATTTACTCACTCTGCATGGAACAAAAATGAGGTTTAAATTTAAATAGGTTTACTGTCCCTTTAAGAATGAATTCAAATTAACATTTGAAATGTCCTGCATCAAAACAACATCAAAGATCAAACAGATAAATAATGCTAGTGTCAGGCGACTTTGTTTTCATTTCGATTAATTTATTGGTAATTTGCAGATTGTTCTGTGTGAGATCAACGAAACCAGAGAAAGACATCAAAACACACAGAAAAAATGAATTTCTGACTTTAAGAAACATTCAACATGTGTGTGCAAGACAGAAATTAAATGCTATAATGTGTGAAACAGCCATTGATTTCAGTATTTGATACCAAACGTGATATAACATGAGCGACAGACGCAAATAGCAATATATCATATTCAAATGCATAATTACAAAAAAATGCAATGTTCAGACTTCGTTCTTATTATAAAACATCCAACAAACATAAAGGAACAAAAATTTAAAAAGGCACTTTTCTCATGTAGGTAGATGCTAAGAAGTGCTGTTGTTCATTTCAGTCTGTTTAAACCCCGTTGATTGACAGCAGTGCATATTTACAAGCTGAAATTATCCATGTACTGAAGCAGAAGAAGGAAATAAAAACAAGGAATGACTTACTGTTCTGTTCATCAGGTTTAGCTGATGTTTGTGTCTTTAGACTTTCATTCTTTGGCTCTTAAACACAGTCCCATCTTCTTTTCTTTACTGATTGCTCGAACCAATTATAAAGCTCTCGTTGTATTTAATTCCCAGCATTCGCAACTTTTTACCACTTGTTTTTTTCTTTCACGTGCATTATACGCTTTACTCTACTGTTTTCCACTTGCATCAACCTATATTGCTAAACACAATTAAAATAATAGATTTGTGAAATGGTTTATCGAAGGTCAAGTGTGTAATTTTTCTGACCTTTTTTTGATCAAATGTAAGGTTAAAAAATCTGAAATGGTATAACAAAAGTCATAATTATCATTTTAAAAGGTCTTAAATTTGGGGATGGAAAAAAAGACTCATAAATTGGCCTAATGTGATTATTAAACTTTAAATGGATATGATTTAATTAAATACGTGAGTGCATTAATTAGTAAAAGAATCTGAGGTTTGTTCTGTTTGGACATACAGTATTCATTTTATCTGTGCAGGTCTTAAAAATGTCTTTAAAAGTCTTCAATTTGATTTTAAAAACAGATATCCAGCACAAAAGTATATATAAAAAATTACACACTTAATCTTTAACCATGAAATGTGTTAACAGGTAAAGCAAAAGCATTTTATATGATTTTTTATTTAGCGTTATTACCTTAAAGATCATAATTTCACTTCCGTATGAGCATGACTTTCCACTGTACTTTCTATATCTTACAGTTTTGCGCTATTCCAGCATCAATATCTGAGAACAACTCTATCATTCAGCTTTAGCAACAAGGAAAACATTCTTTCCTCTTCAAGTCTAAACATCAACACTCAGTTTAGACAGCGACCAGCCTCTTCAGAACTCGTAGGGTGAAATCAGAAGGTTGACCCGTGCCAGATGTTTGGCTTGGAATGCACGGTCGGCGTATTCGGACATCTCCACCTCCACGCTGAGCTCCTGTGGGCCTCGCAGTGGCTGGACCAGGATCAGCTCTCCGGTCTGACGGTCTGAGCGCTGCATCACGAACATGCTCCGGGCGTCACCTCCACCTGCGATGCCAAAGCGAAGGCTGTCCGGACCCGGCCGACCCGGAGCTGTTGCGGTGGCCATGCGGAACAGGGTGGCCGGCGTGCGCAGGTTGGACGGCAGAAACAGGTAGTGGTAAGAAATTGTCTTAGCGGCAAACGGACAGGAGCGGCTCTCCATGGGACAGGGATTCCTTTCACACTGGCTGTGGATCATTAAACACTACAGATCAGTTCCAAAACCTAGTTTAGTGATCAAGCACACACAGTCCCAAGAACTTTACTTAAGCGATTATCACAGTTCACATTTTTCAGAGCTATGATAAAACATATTATTACATAATGAAATATTTGTGATTTATAGGTTGCTTGCAAAAGAATCTGTCAGAATGCATAGCCACTTTTAAATATGGAACCTCATTTCCACCATAAAAGACAAAAAAATCATGCTTTGGTAATTCATAATTCTGACATTTATTTCATAGTTATGAAATAAAAAATGTAAATTGACATACTACATCATAATTATGAGTCACATAAATATGACATACTAGGTCATAATGATGAGATGTAAAGTCAAGATTATAACATACCAAGTCATAATTGAGATGAAACTGGTCAAAATTATGAGACTACTCATAATTATGACTATGTCATCATTTTGACTTTTATCTCATATTTGTGACTTAGTATGTCACTGAGGTAAAAAGTCAAAATTAAACATACAAAGTCATAATTGAGATGAAGTCAAAATTGAGATTACAAAATTGTAACTATATGACAGTATATAGGCTAATAATTATCTCATAATTATGACTTAGTATGTCATTATGAGATACAAAGTCCAAATTAAACATACTAAGTCATAATTGAGATTAAATTGAAAAATCTAAATTATGAGATTACATAATTTTAACTATATGATTTAATATATAATAATTCTGACTTTTATCTCATAATTATGACTTACTATGTCATTATGAGATACAAAGTGCAAATTAAACATACTAAGTCATAATTGAGATGAAATTGAAAAATCTAAATTATGAGATTACATAATTTTAACTATATGATTTAATATATAATAATTCTGACTTTTATCTCATAATTATGACTTACTATGTCATTATGAGATACAAAGTGCAAATTAAACATACTAAGTCATAATTGAGATGAAATTGAAAAATCAAAATTATGAGATTACATAATTTTAACTATATGACTTAGTCATAACTATGAGATAAAACTTGGAATTATTATATACTAAGTCATATAGTTACATTTATGCAATCTCATAATTTTGACTCTTCTATTTCATCTCAGTTATGACTTAGTATGTTTAATTTAGACTTTTTTTATAATGACATAGTATATAATAATTCCAACTTTTACATAATAATTATGACTTACTAAGTATGTCATAATTCCAATTTGTATCTCATTATTATGACTTGGTATGTCATAATTCAGACTTTTATCTCATAATTATGACTTAATGTCATAATTCTGTTTTTTTAATCTCATAATCATGCCTTAGTATGTCAATTTTGACGTCATAATTTTGTCTTATCTCATAATTTACCTAATCATTATCTCATAATTATGACTTAGTATGTCTTTTCATCTCATAATTACAGGGGTGTGAATAAGTAACGAATTACAAATACTCACATTAAGCATTTTTTTAAAATCAGAAATTGTACTTTTTTGAGTAGTTTAAAAATGGTGTACTTTTAATTAGGCCAACTATCTGTATTTTTACTCCGCTATTTTCTCTCAGTTCGTGGCATAGACTGTAAAAAAAAGATGGACGACGTGTCTCCACCTCCTTCCACTATAGAAAAGTGAAGCCAAAGCATCTCAGTATAGCTGCTGCCATCTTGAGTAAATGACGTCATTTGGAGCCAGAGTCTGCGCAGTAGTGTCGTGAGGTGGAGCCAGAGTCTGCGCAGTAGTATCGTGAGGTGGAGCCAGAGTCTGCGCAGTAGTATCGTGAGGTGGAGCCAGAGTCTGCGCAGTAGTATCGTGAGGTGGAGCCAGAGTCTGCGCAGTAGTATCGTGAGGTGGAGCCGCGGTATCAAACTCCTGCCCAAACTCCCGCAGACCCAATCAATCATAATGACACGCCCCGTTTTTATAGCATCAAATTACTAGCTAAAATCCACCTTATCACAAAAACGAACAATTTAACATATATCAGCGTGATAACTACCTTAAATGACCAAAACCATCTTTCAGAAAATTGTATTAGAAGTGTAATTATTTTTTTCATTTTGACTCAAGTCCCATTAGTTTACATGGAGAGGGTGGGGTTTATGACCTGTACTGCAGCCAGCCACCAGGGGGCGATCAAAGAGCCCGCACCCGGTTCGTGGTCGTTACATGCTTGTTTAAAAGGGGTCATATGATGCGATTTAAAATTTTCCTTTCTCTTTGGAGTGTTACAAGCTCTTGGTGCATAAAGAAGATCTGTAAAGTTGCAAAGACTAAAGTCTCAAATCCAAAGAGATATTCTTTATAAAAGTTAAGAGTCAGCCACGCCTACCTAAAAATCTTTCAGAAAATTGTATTAGAAGTGTAATTATTTTTTTCATTTTGACTCAAGTCCCATTAGTTTACATGGAGAGGGTGGGGTTTATGACCTGTACTGCAGCCAGCCACCAGGGGGCGATCAAAGAGCCCGCACCCGGTTCGTGGTCGTTACATGCTTGTTTAAAAGGGGTCATATGATGCGATTTAAAATTTTCCTTTCTCTTTGGAGTGTTACAAGCTCTTGGTGCATAAAGAAGATCTGTAAAGTTGCAAAGACTAAAGTCTCAAATCCAAAGAGATATTCTTTATAAAAGTTAAGAGTCAGCCACGCCTACCTAAAACGACTCGTTCTAACACGCCCCCACATATCTACCTCACTATCTGGGAAGATTTGCATAATGCCGCCCAAATGTTCACGCAAAGAAAAGCGGCGTAACTTTTATTCTCGCTGTAGTATTGTTGTTGCCACCGCCACCGCCATCTCGTGAAGGCGCTGTGTGCTTCGTTGTGATAGCGAAACTACTTTGTTTGGCCTTCCAAAAGAGGACGATATCCGCTTCGTCATGCCTAGAGCTCTTAAGGAATTCGGCCAATCACAACGAACTGGATAGCTGGCCAATCAGAGCACACCTTGCTTTACCGATGAGCTTTGTAAAAATCGACGCGTTTCAGAAAGGCGGGGCATAGAGGAGAAACAATAATGTACAGTATGTGGAAAATAATGTGTTTTTTTAACCTTAAACCGCATAAACACATTTCATTACACCAAATACACAAAATAATGTTCTTTTTAGCAGCATCATATGACCCCTTTAATATTGTATTTTTATCCATCAACGTGATTGGATAGAGAGAGCAATCGGTCCCGTGACTCTCGTCAAATCAAATTGCTCATAGAAAACTATAACCGTCAGCTGCTGTTAATCATGGCTGCTGGAAGTGCATTCAATCATCAATTCAGAGTTATCAGCGTCTTCCTCTAATATGTTAAGGTAAATTTCAGAGTTCTGCTTACTAAATGATCTGTATTTTCTAGTCTATCTACAGGGCCTGAAGTTTGGCGTGGGGTTGCGGGTATTGCGTACAATGTTAATTACTCCCGCGAGTGTCACGTTCATAATTCCACTCTCATTTACTTGAGTTCATAGAGAGACGCACAAACATGTTCAAACATCTGCAGCAGTCACTGGAGAAGTCGACTCGTTGACTCCTGATGAGTTTGAGTGCTTCACAGCTTCTATGAAAAAGTGTGTTTGGGACTCTTTAAAACGCTTTTTAGCAAGTGCACTCGCGCAAAAAATTTTTTCAAGTTCAACACTTTTTGTTCCATTCTGTTGTAGATGCTGCTGATAGAGTGTGTGCCGCGTGTGTTTTCTTTTGAAAAAGTCTACCCGGAAATACTTCCCTATTTAATGCAATTTTTTCCTTACAAATTGTATTATCAGCAAAACAAGCTGTGTAAAAGGTAGGTGATGATGCCCCCTTCTATATCAATGTGCATTTATGACTAAATTGTAACAAAGTATCATTCTCATTTCTTTATTACAAAATGATAAATCTGCCATTGTTTGGGAGAGAAATTCTTTTTTAATCTCTCTTTTTCACCCATCTCATTGTGTGTGATGAACTCTGGTATGAGTTTCTAATGGTTTTGTTTTCTTTGCATTGTTCTAAACATTAATATTTTATGTGCAACAATAGCATGCTCCGTCTCAGTGGCCTTACACCTGAGTTTAAATCTGTTTTTTCAAACATTATGATTTAAATGGTTATGAGTGTACCGACAATAACTCATCTTTTCGTCACTTTCCATCATAAAAGTTTTTCTGTGTTGTTTTGATGTATTTTAAAGAGTTGGCTGTCAAACTTAAAACTGCTGGATGATAGATATTCTTCACTCTTTCTGACAAACAATGAAAGATAATGTGAATTACAGTATGTACAATGTTTTCTAAATGTTTAAATTGCACTGTAGAGTGTTTATTATAAGGGGTTGAATCCGTAGCTCAGTACTCACTTCTGACTACTCATGAGTACTTTTAAACAAGCTACTCTTTTGCTCTTACTCAAGTAGTTTTTTCTGGACAAGTACTTTTTACTCTACTCACACTACATTTTTTTGGAATGTAATGGTACTTTTACTTGAGCACATATTTTCAGTACTCTTTCCACCACTGCATAACTATGGCTTAGTATGTAGTAATTTTGACTTGTTACAATTAATCTCATAATTTAGTTCGAATAATTCTCATAATTTGGAGGTTTTCTCTCCGAATTACAGCGTTTTAATCTCACAATAGTAATTTGTCTAAGCATTTAGTTTGGTTAAGCATTTTTTTCCTTATGTAGCAGAAATAGGCTTCTATATTTAAATGACTGTCAATGGAAAAAAGGTGGTGTAGTTACCAGCATCCACCAGCAGGGACTAACTGGACCATGCTAACCAGCTAAACCCTGATTCCTTGAAAAATTACTTCCGGTACCTGCTTAGAAGGCAGGCAGACGTTTAACAGTGATCAATCTCCTTACAGTTTATTTTCAGTATTCATATATTCAATGCATACTAACATGAACCATGCCAGAGTTATGCTTTTACATATTTCTGGTGCTTTTACCAAGCAGCATGTGTGCTTGAAAGGTTTAGTGACTTACAGATCACAGCTTATTGCATTTA